TCACTGTTACTTTCAGAGTGAGTCATAAATATATAAGAGAAATGGGAAAATATGAATATAGACTGCACACTAACCAAAGGAATAATACTTGATTTTATGAGGTATGACAGTGACATTTCGTTTTATAAGAAAGTGTACATTTTGTTTTGAGTTGCATACACAGAAGTAAGTAGGAGCAAAAAGCCGTAATGTCTGAGATCTACAAAGCTGCTCAAAATACTTCAACGAAAAGAAGGAAAAAAAAAGGAAATCAGATGAGGCAAGTACTACAAAATCTTGATAATTAGTGTGTGCGCGCATGCATGCACATGTGTGTATGGAGAAATAATTATTCTATTCTTGTATATGCTTGAAATCTACCACATCAAAAAAACTTTAAAAACTATTTGGTGCTAACATATAATTCAGTTAAGAACCAGATAATACAAAAAAAGTTGCCTGTTTAAAAAAAAAAAAAAAAGAAAGAAAGAAAAATTTGCCTACTAACAGGAAAAATAAATTGTTCAAAGTCTACATACTAAACTTTCTAAAATTGAAGAGAACCTCCTATAGTTCATATGTTGACCAATGTATTCTTATTTCAAATAAGACTCTCATTTATCTGATTTCTAACTAGGGTGGATATAAGAGTTGACAACGAGAAGGGGAAAGTTATAGGGCATATTATTAATGAATCAACACATAAAGTAATTCAGGCAAGAAGAAAGCCAAGTCACAATATTTAATCCCCAAATATCTGTCACTCAGGATTTGTTAATGGCAACTCCTGCTTCCAATTTTTTGACCTTATCACCTGTGTGATTTTACTTTAGAACATAAACAAGAAAAATGTCACAACCGGGAAATTATAAAACAAAAACTTATTGACTGACTCATAGTTGGGTAGGGAGGGGGAGCATAGGAAGAATAGATGAATTCTAGATATGGATGTGGGGTGGGAGGGAAAGGGAAGAGGCAGGGTTGATAAGCAAGGATAGTGGAATGTGATGGACATCATTATCCAAAGTACATGTATGAAGACCCGAATTGGGTGTCAACCTACTTTATATATAAACAGAGATATGAAAAATTGTCGTATATATATGTAATAAGAATTGTAATGCAAAGAACAACAAAGTACATGTAAAAAGACATGAATTGGCATGAACATACTTTATATAGAAAGATATGAGAAACTGTGCTCTATAAGTGTAATAAGAATTGTAATGTATTCTACTATCATGTATTTTTAAAAAATCAAATAAAAAACAAACAAAAAACCCAAAAACTTAAAACTCCAGCTTCCCCTTGTGTACCACCTCCCTTTAATTCATCAGCAAACAAAGGTTGGAGGACCAACAGGAAGCTCAACAGCTGTCAGGTCTTTGTACAAACAGGATGATGTACATTAGCCATACAATTGATTAGCAGAAGCTCTGAAAAGACAGAGCTTTCAAATGATTTCAGTCACAAGGATCAAACGTACAGAATTTTTGGTAACACTTTAGTTTCCACAGCTTAATGATGATTTGATCATGTAAACAAGAATGATTTGATGTAAAATAAGTCCTTACTTACTGCTTCCATGACTTGTTTATATAAAACTGAATGTACCACCGAACCTGGCCAGATTACCTTTTAATTTCTTTAAATTTCTAAAACACCAGGGAATTTACATCCCTTGACTTGAAGAAAATGAGACAAGTAGCCAATAAATTATGTTACCATCGAGTATTATTTTTAAAAACCAGTCACTTTGGTCATACATCATAGGGTTAATAAAGATGCCATTTTAGTTTAATAATCCGTAGATATATAGTGTTGTATACTAAAAACAAATACGTCAGTGAAATGCTTCAGATACAACATCTAAATTAATATGTTCAGAATATTTTGACTGCTAAGAATTGAGTTCTAAATCATCAAATAATCATCATTCATGCACAGCATAGAGGATAATTCCTAGTTAACTAAAATAATCCATTAATTAGCACACAGATTACCTTTTTTTGGGAGGAACAGGGGTACTAAGGATTGAATTCAGGGGCACTTGGCCACTGAGCCATATTTTGTATTTTATTTAGAACCAGGGTTTCACTTAGTTGCTTAGTACCTCACTTTTGCTGAGGCTGGCTTTGAACTCTCCATCCTCCTGCCTCAGCCTCCTGGGCTACTGGGATTACAGGCATGTACCACCGAACCTGGCCAGATTACCTTTTAATTTCTTTAAATTTCAAGTATGTGAAAGATTAAAACCAGTTATTTTTTATTTTTATCAAATACTTCAAACATATAGAAAATAGAAAAATCCATAAACTTGCCATCCAGATTTAATAAATACCAGCATCTGATATATTTGAGATTTTAAAATAAGTATTAGAAATATAAAGTTTTTTTCCTAGTTCCTTGTTTTGGCCTTCTCATAAGTGCTCTATCTACTCTTCTACTTTATTCAAAACTTTCCCTTTATCTCACAAACCTATCCTCTATTATTTCACAGAAATGTCTTCAAAAATCTATACTCCCAATGACTACTTCTTTCCTCTTGGTTATTCTCTAGCCTACTACAACCTAATTTCTGTCTACTGGACTTCTATTCAATTCTAAAACTTATAAACCCAAGATTGCTTTTCAGGCTTCCTATTACTGGACCACTCAGCAACTTATGACTCACAAGGCTGGGTGTTGATAGCCTGAAGATTCTCAGAATTGCAAATCATCATCTTTCAACAACAGGGATTTCTTTCAACTTTGAGGATCTTTTGTTCTGACTGTGCTGGCCCAGAAGTATGGAGA